GACACCTTCCACTAGAAGAGAGCCTAAGAGTGTTTTTTAAAAAGCCTAATTTTAATGTAAGCTCTGGCAAACATTTATTCTTCATAGAATAAATGCCACTTCATGATTAAAGTGAAGGCCCTTGTCTAATAAACACTATATAATTAAAATTTCCAGCATAAATTAATATTTTACTCTGGTCACTGTCATTAAAGCAATAACAGCACCCTAACAGAGGCCCACCCCCCAAAAAAAGTCTGATTTCTCTCTACTCTCCACCACAGAAAAGGTGGCCAGTCTCTGTTCTAGCTTCATTTTATATTTTATTAGTTTTTACAAGCCAGCTATGCTGAAGGGCTGCACCAGTAATTTAAACTGCAGTTGTCAGCAGAAGTGAAGGACATTGAGGGATACATTTTATTCCAGCTCTTTTATTGCCTGGCTCCTTGGAGTGATTCAAGCAGCTTAAGGATTTTAGAGGCACTGTCACAACAGTTTCTGGTCCATCTCAAGCTGCTATTTGAGCAAAAAAAAAAAAGAAAAAAAGTCCCCAAAAATTCCAACTTTCAAAGAACTGGCTGGACCAGCAGAAGCTGTTCAAGACTCAGCAACTCCTGAATGTCACCAAATTGTTCCCTCACGGGGACAGGCACTTTCTGCAATGTTATTCCCACTCAGCAGGAGGGGAGGGGGACCCATAAAACAATAAAACAGGGGAAATGCTGATTTCTGCAGCTCTGCCAAACCCCAGGAACACACAGAAACTCTTCCCACCATCAGGAGCCAGCAGGGCTCTGTCACATCTGCCGGGACACAGGTGACAAGCTGGAGCACAACAAGGCTGGCACAGACCCAATCCAGGAAAGCCTCCAGGAGTGCTGGCCAGAGGAGAAATGTTCTGAAAATTCCCATCCCAGCAGCACCCCAGGGTTCTGCTGGACTCTTCCCTATGGATGATCAAAAAGCAAATTAATTCCAGCCTGACCAGCCCAGGCTGGTGGGAAATGTTGGTTTTCATCCCCATTGATTGTTCTGCCATGAATCCAGCCATGCCCATCCTTGTGAAATGTCTCCTTTGACAGGAGGGTCTGTTGCTGCTTTGAAAAGTGGTATTTTGGATGTCTTTCTGCTCTGCTGGTTTGTGTTGTCCCCACAAAAGGCAGGCAGGGAAGTTCCCTGTCACTTCAGCATCTCCTGGAGTAAAAACCCTCCCCAGGCTGTGGGATTTATTTGTTACTGAATGCCATGGAGAGGTGTAAAAGTGGATGTTTTAATCCAGGTTTTGCTCCCAGATGGGAGCACAGCTCAGGTTTGGGACATGAGGGGCTGCTCTGT